ATCCCTGCTGTGTTTCTGATCTTACAAGAAAAGCTCTGAGTTCTTCCCCATTGAGAATGATATTTACTGTAGGTTTTACATAGATGGCTTTTATGGTATTGAGGTATGTTCCCTCTATCCCTACATAGTGAAAAGTTTCAATCAAGAAAGGATGCTGTACTTTGTCAAATGCCTCTTCTGTGTCTATTGAGAGGATTATATGGTTCTTGTCCTTTCTTTTATTTATGTAGTGTATCACATTGATTTGCCGATGTTGAACCACCCTTGTAGCCCTGGAATTAATCCCATTTGGTCGTGATGAATAATCCTTTGACTATATTGTTGGATCCTTTTGGCTAGTATTTTGGTAAGAGTTATTACATCCATGTTCATCAGGGACATTGGTCTGTAATTCTCCTTTCTGATGAGGTCTTTGTCTGGTTTTGGGATCAAGGTAATGCCTCATAGAAAGAGTTTGGAAGTTTTTCTTCCATTTATATTTTTTGAACAGCTTCATTAGAATAGGTGTTAATTCTTCTTGAAATGTTTGGTGAAACTCCCCAGGGAAGCCATCTGGCCCTGGGCTTTTTTTTTTTTTTTTTTGTGGAGGGAGAGATTTTTGATTACTGCTTCAATTTCCTTACTGGTTATGGGTCTGTTCATCTTTTCTATTTCTTCTTGGTTCAGTTTTGGTAGTTTATAAGTCTCTAGGAATGCATCCATTTCTTTCAGATTGTTTAATTTGCTGGCATATAGTTGTTCATAATGTGTTCTTATAATTGTTTATATTTCTTTGGTGTTAGTTTTGATCTCTCCTCTTTTATTCATGATTTTGTTTGGGTCCTTTCTCTTTTCTTTTTGATAAGTCTGGCCAGGGGTTTATCAATCTTATTCTTTAAGAGAACCAGTTCTTGGTTTCATTTATCTGTTCTACTGTTCTTTTGGTTTCTGTTTCATTGATTTCTGCTCTGATCTTTATTATTTCTCTTCTCTTGCTGGGTTTAGGCTTTATTTGCTGTCCTATCTCAGCTCTTCTAGATATAAGTTTAGCTTGTGTATTTGAGACTTGGTTTCTTTTTTTTTTTTTTTTTAAAGATGTTATTTATTTATTTGACAGAGAGAGATCACAAGTAGACGGAGAGGCAGGCAGAGAGAGAGAGGGAAGCAGGCTTCCTGCCGAGCAGAGGGCCCGATGTGGGACTCGATCCCAGGACCCCGAGATCACGACCTGAGCCGAAGGCAGGGGCTTAACCCACTGAGCCACCCAGGCGCCCCTTGGTTTCTTGAGAAAGGCTTGTAGTGCTATATACTTCCCTCTTAGGACTGCCTTTGCTGCATTCCAAAGGTTTTGAACAGTTGTGTTCTCATTTTCATTTGTTTCCATGATTTTTAAAATTCTTTAATTTCCTGATTGACCCATTGAGTTCTTTCCAACTTTCCTCTTGTCAATTAGTTCAGCTTTGGGGGACAAGAATGAAAATGGCGGCCTCCCAGTCTCTGGTTCCAGAGAAGCCAAGAACTTGGGATCCCACTCCTCAGTGAGCCCTCAGAGAAAAGCAGTCAGTCACTCCTGTCTCCCTAGTCTCTGGCTGCACTCTATGCTCTAACTCCTAAAAGTTCCGATTTTGTGCTCTGCTGCTCTGTCACTTGCCAATAGCCAGCTGATGGAGGCTCCCTCCCCGCTGTGGTGTGTCTTCCCATATGTCACCTCCTACTCACTTCTCCGCACCTCCCTACCTTCCAGAAAGTGGTCACTTTTCTGTTCATAGAATGGCTGCTACTCTTTTCTTTGATCTCCAATCGAGTTTGCAGGTGTTCAGAATGATTTGATAGCTATCTAACTGAATTCCTGGGACCAGATGAAATTAAAGTCTCCTACTCCTCTGCTATCTTTGACTCTTCTTGGTGTTAATTTTTCTTTAAATATTTGGTATAAATTCTCCAGTAAAGCCATCTGGTTCGGGGATTTCCTTGTTGAGAGGTTTTTGAGTGCTCCTTCAGTCTGCTAACTAGTTACATATTTGTATTGCCTGCACTAATCTCCTATTTCTTCATCATTCAGTTTTAGTAGTTTGGGAGTATCTAGGAATTTACTTCGTCTAGGTTATCCAATTATTGGTGTATCATTGCTCAGAGTATTCTCTTATCCTCTTTATTTCTGTGGTTTCGGTTGTAATGTCTACTGTCTCGTTTACAATTTTACTTCTGTAAAGTCAATTTTAATATCCCCTTTCATTTCTGCTGTTATTTGAGTCTATTTTTTGTCTAGATAAAGTAAATTTTGTTGATCTTTTCAAAGAACCAACTCTTGTTTCATTGATTTTTCTCTACTGTTATTTTATTCTCTGTTTATCTCTGCTCTAATCTTTAGTATTTCCTACTTTCGGCTAGCTTTGGGTTTAGTTCTGTAGTTATGTTTAGTTCTTTAGTTGTTATGATTTGAGATCTTTATTCTTTTTTAACGTAAACATTTGTAGCTATACGTTTTCACCTTAGCATTGCTTTCACTATATCCTGTAAGTTTTGGTACATTGTGTTTTCATTGTCATTTATCTGAAGATAATTTCTAACTTCCCTTGTGATTTCTTCTTTGACCCATTGGTTAAGAGTATGTTGTTTAATCTCCACATATTTATAGATTTTCCAATTTTCCTTCTGCTATTGATTTTGAGTTTCAATTTAGTGTGAACAGAAAGTTTGTATGGCTTCAGTCTTTTAGAATTTACTAAGACTTGTTTTGTGGCCTATGATCTGTTTTGGAGAATGTTCCATGTACACTTAAGAAAATTGTGTATTTGGGGCCACTTGGGTGGTACAGTCAGTTGAGTGCTGACTCTTGGTTTCGGCTTCAGTCAGGTTATAGTCTAAAGGTGGTGAGATTGAGCCCTGTGTCAGGCTCCACATTTAGCACAGTCTGCTTGGGTTTCTCTCTCCCTCTCTCTCTCTGCCCTTCACCCCTGCACATGCTCACATTCTTTCTCTTTCTCTCTCAAATAAAATCTTTAGGGGGAAAACAAAGGAAAAATGTGCATTTTGCTTTTGTTGGGTGGAATGTACTATATACATCTTTGGGCCCAGTTGGGTCTGTTGGGTTGTTCACGTACTGTTCTTAATGCCCTTCTTTCTGGTTGTTATATCCATAGGTGGGGTATTGAAGTCTACTATAATCACAGAGCTTTTTTTTTTTTTTCTCCACCAGTTCTGTCAATGTTTGCCTCATATATTTAGGAACTGATGTTTGGTGAATATACAATTGTTATAATTCCTTGGTGAATGAAGCATTTTATTACCTAATGGCCTTTTTGTCTCTCATAACTGTTTTGACTTATAGTCTATTTTGTCTGATACTATTATAGAACCCCTGTCCTCCTTTGGGTACCATTTGCATGCAGTATCTTTTTTCATCTTTCCAGTGTATGTCCTTACATCTCTTGTAGACAGTACACAGTTCAATCTTATTTTTTAAATACAATCTAGGGGAAGTTTAATTCATTTACATTTCCAGTTATTGCTGAGGGAAGAACTTCCCATTACCATTTTGATTTGTTTTCTGTATGTCTTAAAGCTCTTTACTCTGTCATTTAAATGACAGACTTAAATTTAAATGACTTCCTAGGAGTCTCAGCCCTGCTTCTTCTCTGGGCCTTCAATGTTGCATTTTATTCCTCAGCCCATAATCTCTTGTACCTAGACATTCATGGTTATGCAGACCCCCTGTAGGCCCTATGTGCAGCAGTTCCCACCACTGCTTCCAGCAGCCTCCAGCCTGATATGTAAACTGTGTCACCATTCCATCAGTGCTCTGAATCAGGTGAGACAGTCCCTCAAGCAATCCCCAAACAAGTCAGACCATTACAGGCAAGTTCTACTCTTCTTTCCATGAATTGAAAGGCTTCCTTCTGTTATGCCAGGAGGGTAAGGGGGAAAAGGGTGAGCATAAATGCCATGAAATTTCCTATCAGTTTTGAGTATGGCTTTTTAGGTGTTTGCTTGGCTGTTACTGCTTAGTTGGCTTCTATACTTCTCACGACACTACACTGTGTCTTCAGTGTGTCCATGTGTGTTTGTTGGGGGACAAGGGCCCAGAACTTCGTAATCTGCCATCTTGGGGACATCGCTATCAATTATCTTTTAAAGAGAGTTATTTTAAAAAGAAGTCTACTAATATTTATTATGTTATTATTTCTGTTACTTTATATGTGTATGTAGATTCAGATTTCCTTCTGGTATCATTGCCATTTTGCATGAAAGGCTTCCTTTAACATTAAGTATAAGATCTTCCTGTACTTGGTTAAATTCTACTGACCTGTCAAAGTTCATTGGTCCTTCTCCATTGTCCAAACTGATGCAGAGCTCATTTGGATAATTTTTGCCAAGATCAAACTCTCTCTCCTTTGTCAGGCCTGTGGCTGAATTCTCTGCTCAGCTCTTTAGACCATAGCTGTTGCCTTTCATGTGTTCCTAGGGGTCTCACCCTGCCCACAGGGTATTTAAGTGTCTACCAAGGATTTAAGGGAAATTTCAGGGCTCCATTCTTTATAGGATTTGTCAACTGAAAATTTCTGCCACCCTGGCAACCCTGTTGTCTCATTTCTCAGACCAGTAAGACTGCTACTTTTTCCTTGAGGTCCATCTCCTGTGAACCCATGAAGTAGAAAGTACTCTCAGAAGACAGCTGACTATGGACTTCAGCCAGTATATTTCCCTTTTTTCAAGGAGCATATCACCTCCAGTTTCATCTTACTACTGATTATTCATCTATACCTTCAAATATGTTTTTGTTAACCCTAGAAGAGTTGGTCTACTACAAACTGGCATTACTGGAATTAGAACTGAATTATTTCTAAAATGTTTGAGAGATCATTAAGTTACCAATGTTAGTTATTCAGTAATGCAAAGAAGAAAATTTGCAAAAATTTTATATTTCAGTTAAAGATATTTATTACTAATGTGACAATATTTTTTATAATTTTTTCCAGTAAAGACTGAAGACTATATGGGAGTTTCTTCTCATTTTGCAGGATATAGCCAATGAAGAACACAAAAAAATTGAAGCACTAAAATCAGAAAACAAGAAGCTAGAAAAACAAAAAGGAGAATTAATGATAGGGTTCAAGAAACAATTAAAATTAATTGATGTTTTAAAAAGGCAGAAGGTGAGTCTGTCCTTAAAAAACACAGTTAAATCATAGGTATTATTTGGGCCACTCTACTAAAATAGTTATTTCTACTTTAGATACGTTTTTTTTATTTTGACACAGGCACAAAATTTTTTAAAGTTTTTTTTTAATTTATTTGACAGAGAGAGATCACAAGTAGGCAGAGAGAGAGGAGGGAGCAGGCTCCCCACTGAGCAGAGAGCCCAATGTTGGGCTCGATCCCAGGATCATGAGCAGAGCCAAAGGCAGAGGCCCTAACCCACTGAGCCACCCAGGTGCCCCTAGGCACAAAATTTTATCTATTAACATACATAATAAGATTTATATACAATGTGTCATCCAAGCAAATGGATATTTTCATGCAAGTATATTAGTAATGTGGCAAATGGAACTAGAAATACTGTATGGATACTCCTTAAAGAAAGTATGTACAAGAATAACTATTATCTTAGGGGATTAGTTTGCCTCTTGAAACAGGGAAGACTGAAAATTGAATCCCAACCACTATTTCCTTCTGTCCACAAAGTTACCTGGTGGTGAAAAGATAAGGAGTCATGGTTCTGCCACTCTCCCTTTTTGCCAAGGTTAGGAATTAAAATGTTGTTATTCTCTCAACGTGTTGGTTCAGTAACCACCATGGACAAAATAAGTTTTTACAAGCTGACCATTGAATGTAATTTCAAATATCATGTTTATTAGAATTTGAGTACACATCCCAACAGACCTTATTAATTTGATAGCATATTTATGTACACACTTTTATCAATTTCCTGTTGTTCTGTGGTCTACTCTTAATACTAAAACAATATTGGTTTGTTACAAACACAGATGCATATTGAAGCTGCCAAGATGTTGTCTTTCACCGAAGAGGAATTTATGAAGGCACTTGAATGGGGAAATTCATAAATTATCTACTTTATAATTATATAGACTTTGTATGTCTAACTGTATGACCCATATATATTTTATTTAAAGTTTTAATGCACTATTTTTACTCTAAGTAATGAAGACATTTGGTAATGAAATCAAAGTAATTCTAGTGAATTCCCTGTTCAGATTTAGGGGATACAAAATTGATATGTAAAATAATAGGAATTTAACTTTTGATTCTTTCTTGTGACCCACTTGCCATCTAATGTAAAGTACTTTATGTCCTGGAGATTCAGCTCTAGTTCATAAATGGTAAGTTTATGTTATAGAGATTCTGTTTTTAAGTTTTCATTGACAATAAAGCACTTTGAAATTCCTCACTCTTAACTATTCTCTTTCCTTATAGTAGAAAGAAAAAGATACTTTGGCTGGCCAAATCCTGAAAGTAAAGTTCCTAAAATGCCAGTGGAACTGTATCTGAATGGAGATGCAGAAAAAGCTCTGAGCAGTAGGAGTAGTATGAAGAAGTTAGTCTCCTGGGTTTGGCCTGTAATGTATTTATATATACATGGACTGTTGTGATGTGGTACACAACTCAGATCTTCAAATTATCAGTTTAAGAACGAGTTTGACTAAGAGCAATTTTGTAGCTAAAAAATATGAATTAGAGACACTTTAGAAAATCCAAGTAGATTACAGATTCAGTATTAACTGTAAAACAAAAGTTACAATGACATCTAGTGGTGAAAAACAATCTAGTTTTTACCTAATCTTGATGGTGTCACTTCTCTTCACAAATTTCACTCCTTTTCTGATATACTTTCCTGAACTCTTCACCAAGCATATCTATATCATCCTCTTTTTTAAATACTCCCTGCAAGAAAAATATTTTGTGGGTTACTTCAAATGCTAGAGTAGTTCACCAAATGCTAACAAATATATAGACTACAAATTTATGAAGTTATAGCTCTAAGATAATGTAATCTATTTAATAGGTTTATGAAAAAATCACTGTTCTCTAAAATTATGATTTGATATATATACTCAATATTCTTTGATTTCCTGACGTATCTATCAGCTCCAGTGTAGGAATTTGTAATAGGAATCTGGGCTCTTCTCCCTTACTACTGCAGGTCACGACTGCTAGGATTGGCTAAAGAATTTAATAAGGTCTGAGAGAGGTCAGGGTGAAGAGACTGAGCTTTGCCAGGCTCATGGATGAGACTGGCTCTTGCCTCCGTTCTGTGGCTGATCAGCAAACCTTGAATCTTGCAGGAAAGGCTCCAGGTTTGGAGTTAGGCCATTTAAGCAAGCCCTTTGAAATTCTCCATGCTTTTATTTACTTTTCTTTTCCCTTATACTATACAGTAAAAGCCTCTTAAGTATTTGCTTATATAACTTAAAGGACCTAAAGAATAATTTAGGTCATTTGGGGATATATCAGGTTTGTTAGGCTCTCCCCATCTCCACATTTACTTTTAAAAATATCTAAATCCCAGACTCTCCAGAACTTATAAGGTGACGTATTAATTTAAAAAGAAGACTATATTAATTAATCCTATCAACCAATTAGACTGTAACAACCTGTGGAAAAGCAATAATTACTCAATTCCCTTTCTCCCTCCTTAGCACTGCACTAAAAAATAAGCACTTGATTCTTCCAGATGAATAAATCAAATGACATTTCTAAATTTAAAAGATGGAAATTTTATTTACATGCATCCAGATGTTTATATGGCTTATGAAACTCAGTTGTTACTTCATTTATAGTCAGAATGTATCTCACTTATAGATGAAAATCTTATCTTTTGGAAGTACTTTTAAAAACAGTTTACCAAAAAAAAAAGAAAAAAAAGAAAAAAGGGGCGCCTGGGTGGCTCAGTGGGTTAAAGCCTCTGCCTTCGGCTCAGGTCATGATCTCAGGGTCCTGGGATCGAGCCCCGCATCGGGCTCTCTGCTCGGTGGCGAGCCTGCTTCCTCCTCTCTCCCTCTCTGCCTGCCTCTCTAACTACTTGTGATCTCTGTCTGTCAAATACATAAATAAAATCTTAAAAAAAAAAAAAAAAAAAAAAAAAAAGGAAATCTAGCTCCTGCTTCTAAGAATGCGCCAAGACCAACTCTCTCATTTTAGAGACAGGTGTCAATGACTGCCTAAGATCCCACTGCTGCTTTGTGAACAGCCAGGAGTAAGCAAAACCCAGACCCTCTGAAGTCCTGGTTACCACGTAATTTTCCCCACTATTGGAGTTCAGGAAGATTATACCTTGAGTTAAATCTCACTTACTTTAGGGAGATAGCCTAGTAATTTTGTAGCATGTTCTTTGAGAAGTTTTAGTCTTTCTTCTTCTATAATTGCATTAATACATCCTTGTCTTCTTTGCTGCAACTGCCATTCTTCTAGTTCACGTTGCTGGAAATGTAAAAAATTTTATTGTCACAGCATACATTAATCTTTTAAGAAGTCATTAAATAAAACCTATTCTCGTAGTGAATTAGACAAAATTGATGAACTATTTTTGACACTAACTTCAGAATATACTATATAGTATTTTTATATTTATTATATATACAATATATCTCTATCTTTTAATGTTACAAAAACAGTAGTCATGACTGGGATTTTAGGGAGGCAAGTATATATTTCTAGGACAATATAACTTCATTACCAAGGAAAAAATTTTCAAAGAAGGGATTTCCTAATTTATTCAGATATTTATATAATGTTAACCATATGCCCAGTGCTGAAGGCAGTTTACTGTATAAAACAAAATAGGGGGGCGCCTGGTTGGCTCAGTAGCTTAAGCCTTTGCCTTCAGCTCAGGTCATGATCTCAGGGTCCTGGGATCGAGCCCTGCATCGGGCTCTCTGCTCAGCGGGGAGCCTGCTTCCCTCTCTCTCAGCCTGCCTCTGTGCCTACTTGTGATCTGTCAAATAAATAAATAAAATCTTAAAAAAAAAAATCCAATCTTGGGACTTGCTGAGCTTTAAAAAAAAAAGAACTGGTGTTTCTCAGGAGAGAGTTCTGAATGCTCTTATATAACCACATCAAACTTCTGTACCATATACTATGGAAGAGAGGACCAGCTTTAAAAGTTTTAGGGCTTAAAAGAACTCTTATGGAGCCATACCCAAATAATCCTGTTGGAAAGGGAAGGGTGCTAAAGGCAGACCACTGAAGCGGTGAATTCCCACCTAGAATTAAAGTAGTATTAATGTTAAGCGTGTCTTTGTAATAACTAAAGTTTCCTAGGCTCATTTTTTCAGACCAGTCCTTGTCAAAGTCATGTAAACTAGAAAAGAGTATGTCTGTTTTCCTACAATGGGAGACCAGCTTCTACATAACCTAATAACTCTTCATAGTTACCAATGAAGAAAAAGGGGAATGCTAGGACACAGCCATTTCCAGTGCCACTTAAACCTGTAATTGCTTCTCATGAGAGTATTTCGTCTACTATAATACTATCTGCATTACAGAATCAGACATAGCATTGATAACAGCTAATTGAGAAAAGACATTCTCATCCATCTTGTTTCTGAATCAGAGTTGAGTGGCCCTTACTTATGTTACCTCTAAGATCAAATAGGGTAACAGAATCTTCCATGGAATTGTTACACCTGAATTTATTATTTTTTTTTTTTTTTTAAAGACTACATTTCTAAGGCTCCCTTACAGTCCAGTATGGTCAAAATAGGACTTGGTTTCTGCCAACGGAATATAAGCAGATGGGTCATACAGACTTTATGAGGAAGAATAAACTATCTACTGAGACACCATTAATTTGGTCTCTGTACCTGTAGCCAAACCTAATTCTAACTGATGTGTTCCTTATAGAAAGGAGATACAAGAAAGTTCTGTAATGTTATGAGGAAAACTCACTTGTTAAATTTTTGTCCAATGATGTATAGTCTCTAATTTGGGTAGAATACAAGATTTCTCTTCTTAGGATGTGGTAAACACATTAAATATCCTAATAAACATTTTTATAGTAAATTAGGATAAAGAGTTTAGAAAACTCTGAAACCAAGTTGTCCATTTAGGACAAATTCTGAATAGCTGGTAGTAGGAAACTGCTTCCTGGGGAGTTTCAGATTTTTGTCTGCCTAAACGTATGATTTCTTAAAAAGCTAGACAGAATTGTAGATACCTATTTAGGAATATCTTCAAAATCTAGAAATCAGAGTTAGAGCCTCATAGGATTATAATGGAAAGGATTAACATATTCCATGATAATAAAAATCCACCCTTGCCCTTGGGATATGACCCAATCTCAGACACTTGAAGCACACAGCTTCATACTAGGAATATTTACATTACAGAAAATTAAGACAAATTGTTTCCAACTTTGTCATTTAGACATCTGGAAATATGGCAACAGAACTATGGTGTGACATAAGTAAGAAGAGAGGAGAGCCAAAGTATCTCGACACTTCATGGAGCAGGCAAAAGACAGAGCTGATCTCTCTTGGTTTTCAGTGACACACCATCTAGATTCTCTTGCCTTTCTAACCATCTCTTGGTCATGTCAATGTTTTCTTCCTCCTCCTCCTACCATCAAATAAGAATGTTCACCAAGACTTGACTGGCCCTCTTACTGTTTCTCATCATAATTCTTTGGAGGAATCCTCTTAGCTTGAACCTCTCTCTGTGCTGCTTAATGCGAGATACGTATTTCTAGGAAAATTTTACCTAAGCTTTGCCCTTCTGGGTCAACTGCCTTAAGAATATTTTCAATTTGCATTTCCGTTTCAAACACACCATGATTAAAACTGAAGTATTGTATCTTTTTTGTTCTACCTCATAACACAACAGCATTTGGTAGTCTTTGAGTTTCTCATATTTAAAACCTTGGGAGTTATTTTGACTCCTTCCTCCACTCTACCCTTCATGGTCTAAAAAAGCTATACCAGTCTCATCTTACTTTAAAAATATTTAAACTCTAACCTTTCTTGCTTCTTCCATTGCTTTGTGAACCTATTCCAGGTCCTCATCACCTCTTTCTTGAATTACTACCTTCTCCTCTTGCTAAAGACCATGTTATGATCATCAGTTTCCTACTGTATCATATCTAGACTCCTCTGCCTATCATTCAAGTTTCTCGTTGTGGTATTTCCATATGCTGCCAACTTAGAATAGTCTTCTGCTTTTACTCATCTTCTAAGTATTTCCAGGTAAACCCACATAGTTCTGCCAGAAATGTCCATGACCCATGAATAACACAGGTTTGAACTGCACAGGTCCCCTTACCAGTAATTTTTTTTCAATAAATACAATATAATACTGTGAATGTATTTTCTCTTATTATTTTCTTGATAACATTTTCTTTTCTCTGGCTTACTTTGAGAATGTAGGATGTAATACATATATAAAATATGTGCTAATCGAATCTTTATGTTATCAGTAAGGCTTCTGGTCCTCAGTAGGTTATTAAGTTTTGGGGGAGTCAGAAGTTAATTGTGGATATTTGACTGGGTGAGGGGGAGGGTCCAGCACCCCTCACCCCTGTGCTGTTCATGGGTCAACCGTATTGCACAATTAGTAAATTACAACTACCAAATTCTATAAATGTTTACATTGTACATTTAGGAAATGTACTCAGTATAATTTTATATATAATCAAATCTTTTACAAATCTGTACCCTATTTTTTGCACTACCCTAGAAGCTATGAGAATTAATTTTTATTTATTTTGGTTCCTTCACCAACACTCAGCAGAATGCCTAACAGGTCAGTATCTGTTGATTACAAGAATATCTCAAGATTTCTTCCTGTCCACCCATACAGGAAAAGATCATCATTACCATAAGTAACTTTATTAATCCCTGCTCTGCCACTTACTTGCTGTGAAACCTTGAGCAATATATAGGTCATCTCTCTATGCCTTAGTTTTCACATCTTTAAAATGGGGGTAGAATAATACCTAACTCACAGGGTTGAAAATTTAAAGTTGTCACTTTGCTTTTAATGAGCTTAGAATAGTGAATGATGCATGTAAACGCTCAATAAATTTTCATGTTACTGCTACCACTTCCATTAATCATAAATATTTACCATATGTCTAATCTGTATTCTTCATATTTAGAGCTGTTTGTACTTACAGAGTACTTACATATTATCTTATTGGGTTCTTAAAGCTCAACAATCTAGTGAGGCAGATTATTTAAGTATTATTTCAGGTTTATGAATGAAACATGTGTCCAAAGGCACAAATCTAGTTCCTTCTCCAACTCTGAAGTCTACATTGCCAGTTAAAAAATCTTCCCCCTGGGGCCTAAGAATTAATGTGGACAAAATGGAATTATATATCCCCTTGAAATCCATTTTTCTTTGTTTTCTTTAGGACCTCACCCATTCACTGAAGATGGAAGCAATAGTACTATTTAGTAGTAGTAGCAGCAGCCGTAATCCTGCTCTTACCTCTCCAGACCTAACTGGTCACCAAGCCCCATCAAAGCTATCTCCCTCACATCTCCCTCCTTCTCCATCTGCATGAGTTTTCCCCACCTCTCACCGACTTACCATAGTAATGTCCTAACTGGTCTCCCTGTCTCCAGTCTTACTCCCCTCACTCTACCCCCAATATCCCTACTCAAGTCATCTTTCCAAGTGCAGAACTTAACCATGTAGCCTACTTAATTCTTCAGTGGGTACGCCTGGATAAAGATCACTTTTAAAATAGCATCCAGGGCATTCATGATCTGTGTCCCCTCTACCATACTGAGATGCCCATACCTGTATAATTATTATCACATGTACTTGGCCTATCTTTATAATGATTACTTTTATATATTTTTATACAAGACCACAAACTCATAGATATCATGGACTTAGTTGTATTTATGTTCTCAACACCAGCCAACCAGTGTCTAGCACAATGGAAAGCATCAATAAATACATTCTAGATGCATTAAGGAATGATTGGTCAGAAAACGTCTACACCATATGTTAGTAAACAGATAACCTAACAGCAAGGGTCTCAGTGAAATGCTTCGTGGAGGAACAGATGAGCTGATTGTTGGTTCAGTGATAATGAAAAAAACAGAACACTTTCTTACTTTGTCTGCAAGGAACTGGTTGCGACGCTCTTCAATGAGTTTTTCCACAGCCCTCCTGTGTTCTAGTTGCTTCATTCTTTGTTTCTGAGCATTCATCAGTTCTATCCGATCATCCTCAGCAAGCTTAGCTAGCATAGCCTTTCTGAAGGTCTCCTCTTCCTCTTTTGCAGCCTGGAGTACTAATTCCTTCAGGGCCATTTGTTCCATAAAATCTTGCTTCAACTCCCTTTGCTTTCTCAATTTCTCTTCTGCTTCCTCCTAAACAACAATCCATATAAACATTAATTCAGTAACTGTTTCTTTACAGCAGATTTACAAAGAAAGGGTGGATAGAGTTTGGTTGAGTGCAGTTTAAAATAAGAAATAAAACTGAAAAACTAGTTCTTGATAACATTTTCTTTTCTCTGGCTTACTTTGAGAATGTAGGATGTAATACATATATAAAATATTTGCTAATCGAATCTTTATGTTATCAGTAAGGCTTCTGGTCCTCAGTAGGTTATTAAGTTTTGGGGAGTCAGAAGTTAAGATTTTAGACTTTTAAGACTCACTGGATAAAGGACATGTTACCTATGGATTGCCTTCTTTTATTTTTAAATTTTAATTTATATATATTTTGGAAGGAACGGATATAAAAACTTTTTTACACACCTGAGGTTATTAAATCTGTGAAATTTGTACCCACTATGAATCATTCTAGAATCTTGCCTGAAACTGTGGTTCAAATCACTGGTAAATATTTTTCAGAATAATAATCTAGAAATGACAATCAAGTTTTTTGGGAAAATTCAAAATTACTTGGCACAGTTAGTCTTTTCCTACAAGCTTTAATTTTCCTAACATTTTATTAATAAAAAATTTTAAACATAACTGAAAAATGGTTACAGTGACCACCCATCTAACACCTAGATTCTATTTTTGCTTTAGTGTTATCCAATTAGGACTGATATAAATTTTAATTCCTTCTCAACTGTAACCAGCCTTTCCTAATTCTAACACAATTTCCAGGAGGTAAGCCATATCCTCAAGGCATTCAAAATATTGCCTTAACAACAGCTGTATGAGCAGGGTTTTACATGTAACACTAACTATAAGGGATTTACTACAGGCCAGCAGGTGGCATAGAGGGCCAGGGAACCAGCTGCCATCTTGGTTACCATCTATTTTTTGTAGAGTTAACCAGTATGGCTCAAATTCCATGATGGTAACTACCAAAACTATTCCCAATGACCCAATCTTCTATGTATGATTTGCAACCTCACTTTGCCTACTCCTGTCTTCACACCATGAAGTGCAAGGATAACTTGGGAGATTACCTAGGTCGTATGAAGAATTATGGCTAAAAGAAGAGAAATGTGATTTCAATTTTATAGTCTTTATAATAAAGTAAGACAAAAAGGGTAGGAGTGGGTTTTAAGTGAATCAGTCTGGAATATCAGTGACGGTAACTCTGTTCATTATCTTGAATATTCAACCTCTTTGTCCTCACTTACCTCTACCTAATCTGTTCAGATCTCACCTCCAGAAAGTCTTTTCTAATCATTCTAATTCCTTTTAGGAATTAGAATTCTCTTTTGAACCTTTGATACCATTCAATTTTCCCAACATTTAATTTATTTGATATGCCCGTACCCTATCTCCTCACATTTTTTTTATTATTTTATGTATCATATCGTTTTAGTTTATGATACTGGGCATGGTGTTATGATATTACAGTTTGTGTTCATCTGCCATGTATGATATGGAAGTCAGAAGGCTCAGTGAAGGCAGATACTGTCTCAGCTTTGAACTCCTCCAGAGCTCATCATAATACCTAACACACAGAAAACACACATTGAATCAAATGAATTGATGACATCTCCTGGGACCCATCTCCCATACAAATTTTAGTAATGGTAAAGACATCTGGGTAAAAATCAGGGAGGTGTTAGCAAAACAAAACAAAACATATTTTTTTTTTTTCTACAAGAAAAGTGTTCCTGTACTCTTAGATCTGTTTGGATCAGGATTTTATACATATAAGTAATATGGACTGCATAATTTTACAACCCATAATGTGGTTTAAGAAATAGCTATTTACTGAAGGTTTGAAATAATTTGCTGTAAAACTACTCTGAGCCTGGAAACGTTTAGAGGTATCTTGGTCTGGGTTCTCCTATGAAAGCAGAGCTTTACACAATATTTGTGTATACATATTTTATGAGAGAAGATCTCAGGAAGCATCAGTGAGAGAAAAGCAGAGAGAAATAGGGAAGGAAGAAAAGCCAACACATGGGTACATAAGTTAACTGGTTACTATGCGGGCAACTGTGGCTTAATCCTGCCAAGACCTTGTGAGGAATGCATGGAGCACCTTTCAGGTCTGTCCACAAGGCTGACAGGAAGAAGCATTCATCCCTTAATTTCTGTCCCCTCTTGGCTTGAGGAATTACCCCAAGGGTGTTAACTCCCAGCCCCCACCAACAACTCCACCACACTTTAGTCCCTTAACTTTTTTGGGTAACTTGATAATAGATATATATAAATCGATTACGTTGTTTTTAAAAAGAAATGTACATATTTTGCATTTCTTCTGTGCAGTTAGTCATTAAGAATATATATGCAATTGGTTTTGATATCAATACGTGGTTTTCGGTTTCCTCCTCACTGATGAAACAGTATCTAAAATGATCTGTTTTAATATAGCTGAAAAATATTAAAAATAATACTAAAAGCTAACAATTTATTTTATATTGGTTAGTCATATATTTCTTTAATGAAATGTTTGTTCAGATTTCTTGTTCATTAAAAAACACTGGGTTCTTTGTATTCTATTATTGAGTTATAAACATTCTATGTTTTGAATAAAAGGTTTTGTAAGATACATGTAGGGAATACTGTTTCCCAGACTGTGGCTTACATTTACATTTTCCTAAGTGTTAGGAAGTTACTAGTTTTGATGAAACCCAATTTTCAACTTTTTCCTTTATGGGTCTTGCCTTTTTAAACTACTAAAATATCTTCACCCTTCTAAAGGTTATAAAGTCTTTCTGCAGTGTTTTCTTCTAGAGATTTTGTAGTTTCAGTTTTTTTGTTTGTCTCATTCATTTCAGTTAATTTTTGTATATAATAAGAAAATAATAAGCTAGAGGGCAGGGAAAATAGGCAGAGGTTGGTAAAAGGGTACAGAGTTCAGCTATAAGATGGATAAGGTCTGAGGATCTAATGTAAAACATAGTGACTATAGTTAAATAACACTGTATTGTATAACAATTTGCCAAGAGTAGAATTTAAATGCTCTCATCACAAAGATAAACATATGAGCTGATACATATTAATTAAGTAGATGGAGAGAATCCTTTCCCAATGTAAACATTTATCAAATCACCATATAATGTATACTTTAAATATCTTACAAGTGTATATGTTAGTTATACTTCATGAAAGCTGATATTAAAAGTCAGTAAACTTGAAAAACCAAAAGCAAGAGTGACCAAAAATAGAAAAACATTACCAATATCAGAAATGAAACATGGGATATCACTAGAGACCCTGCCGACATCCAAAGGATAATAAGGGATTTGTATGAATAATTCTGCACAAACAAGTTTGACAACTTAGATAAAATGGATAACTTCCTTAAACACAAGTCATTAGTACTAACCAATTATGAAATAAGATCATGTGAATTGCCCTTTAACTATTAAGGACATTGAATTAATAATTTAAAACTCAAAAAATAAAACTCCGGGGCCAGATGGTTTCATTGGAAAAGTCTACCAAATGTTTAATGAAGAATTAAAACCAATTTTATACAATCTTCCAGAAGACAGGAGAGGAGGGAAAACTTCGCTTTTTATTTTATGAATATTGTATTATCCTGACACCAGTATAAAAACAGAAAACTAAAAACCAATATTCCTCATAAATATGGATGAAAAAATCCTTAGCATAATATCAGAAAATAGAATCCAGACATACATTAAAAAAATTATATACCAGTGGGATTTATTCCAGTGAATGAAGACTGTTTCAGTATTAAAAAAAAAATCAATGTAATCCACCAGGATAAAGAAGAAAAAGCACATGATCTTATCTATAAATGTAGAAAAAGCATTTGACAAAACCTTCATGATAAAAACCTTCAGAAAAATAGGGATAGAAGAGAACTTTCTTAAGTTAATAAAGAACATCTATCTACAAAACAAAGTACAGTTAACAGCATGCTTTCCCCTTAAATAGGCAACAAAGAGAGCTGACGTCTATCTCATCACTCTTGTTCAACATAGTGATAGACAATGCTAGAAGTTTCAGTTAGTACAATAAAGCAAGAAAAGGAAATTAAAAAGATAGAAGACTCCCTACTCTTAGAAAACATGACTGGTTATGTAGGGGAAAAAAAAAAAACCCAACTCCTACAAGTTACTAAGTGAATACGGGAAGGTTATGAGATACAAGATAAATATAAAGTTAATTCACTAATAATGAGTCCATGGATACTGTAATTAAAACAAATTCCATTTATAATTGCTCAAAAAAAATGAAATATTTAACTATAAATCTATAAAGCACATACAGGATTTATATACTGAAAACTATAAAACACCGAGGAAACTATTCAAAGATGATATAAATAAATGGGAATCATACTATGTTCATGGAGTGGTAAACTCAACATAGTGAACATGTCAATTCTCCCCAAATTGATACTCAGATTTAATGCAATTCCTATCAAAATCCCAGAAGGCTGGGGCACCTGGGTGGCTCAGTGGGTTAACGCCTCTGCCTTCAGCTCAGGTCATGGTCCCAGGGTCCTGGGATTGAGCCCCGCGTCAGGCTCTTTGCTCAGCGAGGAGCCTGCTTCCCTTCCTCTCTCTCTGCCTGCCTCTCTGCCTGCTTGTGATCTGTGTCTGTCAAATAAATAATATCTTTAAAAAAAAATCCCAGAAGGCTGTTTTTGTAGATAGAGATAAGATTATTCTAAAATATATATGGAAAGGCTAAAGTAAATTTGAAGACTACAGCTACCGTAATCAATTCTGTGTGGTATTGGTGGAGGTATAGATACATAGATCAAAAGAGCAAAACAGAGGTCCCAGGAACAGACCCATACAAATATACTTAACTGTTTCAATAAAGTTCCAAAAGCAATTTGATGTAGGATAAAAAATCTTTTCAACAATTGGTAGGGGCAACAGAACATCTAAAAGCAAAAACCATGACCTAAGTTTCATACCCTATAAGAAATATTAACTGAAAGCAGATCACAGATACAAATATAAGAGTAAAAAGTTTTAGAAAAAAAAATTTGTCAGGATTTAGGCAAAAACTTCCTAGAATTGATGTCAAATTATGATCTATAAAAACTGAAATTGGTGAACTGGACCTCATAGAAACCGAAAACATTTGCTTGGAGAAAGACCCTGTTAAGAAGATGAAAAGACGAGCTACAGATTAAGAGAAAATCTGTAAACCTACAAACTTGACAAAGGACTAGTATCTAGAATAACAAAGAACTCTCAAAACTCTACAATAAACTAACAAACAACTCAATTAGAAAACCGGCACGTCATCCTGACTTGAGGTCAGGATACGATATTATTCAACAATGTTTCCTGTGGTTTTTGGACTATTCTATATGCTAATGAGAAGGAATACTGAAATCTTCAACTATAATTATAGATTTGTCTCTTTCTCCTTTCAGTTTTCTTTCATCCATTTTGAAGCTTCATTTAGACTCATCCACCTTTAGGGCTGTTACAGCCTCTAGATGAAATTATCCTATTGGCATCATGATTTCCACCCTAACTTGCTTTTGATTAGTGTTTAGTATCTCTCTCCCCATCCTTCTGTTTTTAAACTATATGTCTTCGTATTTGAATTGTGTTTCTTAGAGGGCAGACAGCTGAATCACACCTTTTGCGCTGCTAACTGCTGCCTACGACTAGCTTTTTTATCCAGCCTGAAAATTCTTCTCCTAATTTTAGTGATGTTTTGTTTTGTTTTAAAAACTTATTTACTTATCTCACAGAGAGAGAAGGAGACAGAGAGGGAGAGAGAGAGCATAAGCAGGGGAAGGAGCAGAAGAAGAGGGAGAAGCAGGGAGCAGAGAGCCTGATACAGAGCTCAATCCCAGGGCTTGGAGATCATGACCCGAGCTGAAGGCAGACGCTTAACCCACTGAGCCACCCAGGCGCCCCTAATTTTAGTGTTTATACTATTTATACTATTTACACATAATATAATTACCAATATAGTTGGGTTTTTACCATTTTTCTACTGCTTCATCTCAAAGTGATACGCTTCTCTATGTTAATCATTCTTTCCATTTCCAAAACTTACTCTTAGTTTCATCCTATGTATTTCAGCTTGCTCTTCCTCATATAATTCTTGTCGCACTTGTTCCAAATCTTCACGTTGCCGCAGCATTTCTTCCAATTTCTGAGCCAACTATTAAATTTTAAAGAAACACACAAACGTTAATAGGAAACAAATTCTATAACAAGTATTTCAGAATTTCCCTAGTGTTAAAGAAGTGGCTATTTTATTACCGTGTTCTGAAGCTTTAGCCTTTTCTCTTCATTTTCTTGAATTTTTGCCATCCGATCTTCTTCTCTTTGTTGCTGCATGTTGGCGAATTCTATGATTTTTCTGTTTTCTTCTTCCATCTCCTCACGTTTCTTCTTTCTCCAGAGAGCCTGCTCTTTCTGAAACTCTTCTATATACTTTCGAGTTACATTCATTTTTTCTAACTTTTGCTGTCTTTCCCTAAAAAGCAATAATGAGTATAGTTTATAGTAATAGAAATAATATTGAAAAATGTGTCATTTCCTTCAGTTGATAATAACATGGGCAAAAACAGCTTTTCTATTTACTTACCTACTTATTTATTTGAGAGAGAGAGAGAGAGAGAGAGAGCACGCGCACATGAGCAGGGCGAGGGACAGAGGGAGGAGAATCTCAAGCAGACTCCCCACTGAGCCTGGAGCTTGACATGGGGTCAGTCTCACAACCCTGAGATCATGACCTGAATCGAAATCAAGAGTCAGATGCTTAAATGACAGAGCCAACTAGGCGCCTCACAGCTTTTCTACTTACAGTTTATTCATTCATTAATACCACAAACATTTTGAGTATCCACTGTGTATCACTAAATATAATGACAGGTATGAATCTTCTGAGTAAAATACTACTTATACCTCTCCTCTACACTATTTTTTTTTTAAAGATTTTATTTATTTATTTGACAAAGAGAGATCACAAGTAGGCAGAGAGAGAGGCAGAGAGAGAGGAAGGGATGCAGGCTCCCTGCCTCCCTGGGATCCTGATCCCTGGGATCATGACCTGAGCCAAAGGCAGAGGCTTTAACCCACTGAACCACCCAGGTGCCCCCTCTCCTCTAAACTATTAATGAAGTTTTATGCATCTCACTTCAGAAAGGCCAACAACCTACACTTCCACTGTCTAGCCAAGAAATGATCAGAATACAAGTCCTCTGACACGATATGTGCATATTTAAGAAAAACAAAGGTTTAATCATTTGTTACTTAATAAGCATTTGTTATCAGGTAATTGTCATGCTTACAAAGATAAACAAGAGTTCTAGTTTATATGATTATAAAATTTACTGAGGACTTACTACGCACTAGGCACTGTTCAGTTGCTTTATGTCTTCAAAACAAGCTTAAGATCAATCGAATCTCAATGTTTAGACATGGAAAAAAGCTGGGATAAACTTACAATTGATCTTCTTCATAGATTTTCCTAACAATTTCATCAATCATGAGTTTCTCTTTTAGTAACTGCTCATATGCTTCCTGCTTTTTCTTCTCTTGTTCTTCAAGTTGTTTCTCTAAGTCAAGATAATACTGTGCTTTTACTTGATTCCGTTTGTCTTCCGCAGCACTCTCTTCCTTTACTGCTCTCTCGTGTTCCTCCATCATGGTTTTGGCTATTTCAGCATCACGTTTCTGTTATTAAAACAAGACTCATCTTTCCGTTTTCAAATGTGAGCACAGTATGATAGAATATTTCAGAACAGATGTAATGGAATATTTTAAAGCCTACTGCATAAAACATTTTCATCTGTCAAAATAAAAAGCTAAGGGAAGTTACGGTCATCTGAACGGTTTGAATGATGAGTCAAACCTTAAAGAGGCTTTCCCATTCCTTCAAGTAGGTCTCAAGGAAATACAGGAAAAGGATAACTAGTAACTCCACATTTGAAAAACAGCAAATAAAATTAGAAGTACCTTATCAATACTATGTTTAAAAAGCAGCAGTCCTCTTTTTCTTTTATTTAAAAGCTGATACAGGCAATTCTTAACGTCATTGTGTATCAAGTGCATTTACAACAAGGTTGGTACTCTTTTTCATAGAGGTCTGCTATTAAACAGCTCTGAGCAACTCTTGTTTTTTTCCCAGCCTAAACTTTCCTTCTTGCCTCTGGCCTTTGAAGTCCATCATCTCTCATTTATTAAATGCCCTTTATAATCACTTTAACTTAGAAGAGCCTTATATATTACTGTGTCTGTTTTCTGTAGCTTTTAATTCACTCACTCAAGACCATTCCCTCTGAGTTGGAGACAATCTTGCTTCTTAACTAGGTTAAACCCCTTATTGGTTTTGAGCATTTTGAAATCAGTAACCAAATAAATTGTAAATTAAATATATTGAGGCAATTTTTGTTACCTTTTACCATTATGACCACAATCCAAACACTAGAATGGTTAATAGCATCAAACAGACAAGAAGAAACAGATTAAAGTATGAATGCTGAATGCTATTCCTGATCCAACGATGCCTGCACACCAAATACACTATTAACAGGACTTGACCAAAACTCTTTCTCTGCTTCTATTTTTTTATCACATGCTGTAATAGGTTCTTTAAAAAAATGTGAAATGATAAAAACATTTATGTACACATTGCCGTAGGTGCCATACACATAGTCAAGTTCTAGGACTATTTGAGTTTAATCTTTATGAACCAATTTTATTTAGAAAATAGCAAAAATTCTTTAAGGAGTCAGATTAAAATGTACAGTTGCTTTGAGAAACCTCAAGTATCGGGGCAAAACTGCAAACTATTAGCCAAAGAGTACATGGTTTATGTCCTACTTCATTTCTGCAAGCTTAGAAAAGAACTACGTGGCTTAGGAAATGAAGTCTCCTCATGCTCTCCTACAACCTGTCTCACCACAAGCGATGCCAGTCAATAGCCGGCCGTGCAAAGCTCCAACTTCTCCCGCACCGACACACGCACGCACAGATCGCGGGGGCCAGCATCTCATTGTACTAGATGACTCTATCACACGGCGCTGGTTAAGTATTTTGATATTATTCCTCTAATTGTATGTGTATGTGAACGTATATGTGTGTTGAGATCTACACATGGCTGATGTACACATACAGGTTTAAAAAAATGGATTGGGGTATGTATTATTCTCCAACTTGATTTTTCTGCAGCTTTCTTTTTAACCTAAAATATATGCAGAACAACTTTAAAAGCCAGAACATTTAACCCTACCTCTTCTCTTTAATAGTTGTGTAATATCTCTGAAAGGGATCTAGGAGAGAAGGAACTCTACCATCAAAATGCTCTACATAATAGAGAAACGAGCGAAAGGAACTTACAAGACCATGTAAACAACAGTCAGACCTCTTCATCTACCATCTAGCCTTTCCAAGGGCTCAGATGATGGTGTGCACCCTGCTTGGAAGTATTCACTCAATAAACCCTATTCTACATTTACTGTATAACACCACTGGTAAGCGTGTCTGAAATTCCTTTGCCCAAGAATAACTCTTGCCCTAACTTGGCAGTATGTCAGGAGTTAGAAAAGAGGATAAAAATAGAAAAAGAAGAGGGAGCTACTTAAAAAACAGGCACGTTTCCTGCCTAAAATTATAAAACACTTTAATTTTTAAAACATTTAACACATACAAAATTTAATAACATTCTAAAATATATTGATCACACTAACAATTTGTACTATATTGATTTGTCAAAGAATAATCAGTAAGAGACCATAGGAATGCTCAGACTGAGTATAACTATTCATTCTAAACAGCAACCTCATTCTTTGTGCCTCTGAAAGGTTCTAATATTAAATTAAACAAGGCTCACTATTAAATCTAGGAGTTCCTGTACCTTAAGGATCTGAAAATATAAAAGTATTTAAGAAACCTAGCAGTGTAAATTCCTTATCATATATAACAATTTTCACAAAATTGGTCTATTTTTGGTTTCCTAAATGAAGCTAAAAATACAGAAAACATAATGACCAGAAACATGATTACCATTTGCTCATATTTAATGGCATCCTTCTCTGCAATCTGGGCTGCCCTTTCTTTATTCATGTAAGCAGCTTTTAGTTTTTTCTCCAATTCTCTGAGCTCAATACTGTTCAAAAAAAAGACAGAAATATAAAATTGAGGATCATATTTCTTCCTATTTTAGAAATCTAGATCTGAAGTTTAAAAGAACTTTTTTTCTAAATGTAAAAGATATTTATATTATTAAATACCTTGAAAACAATATCCTTTCCTCCCTTCACCCAAAGAAAACTCAGAATGCATACGAAGTGAGGCATTATAATTTTCTAGACAAAACAACCCTTTTATTTCCAATAATCATCACTAAAAATCCTTTTGCCAGAGTGACTCAGAGAAGATGGTTTATCGATATTGGTTAAAACTTCTGTCCAGCCACTAATGCTATTGAGCTAAAAGAACTAAAGTGCTTTAAAGCAATTTACTTAAATTTTATACTTTGGTTTTATTACCTATAGAAGGGTTAGCTATGGGAATTAGTTAATGTGTATAAAAAGCTTAGAAAAGTACCTGTTACACAGTAAACATTCTACGAACGGTAACTATTTTTTTATAACGATGATGAAGAGGAATGACCATGGGCAAGTTTGCTTCAATTCTCTGGGCTTATTTGCTTATCTGTTAAAAATGAGGATTGCCCTCAGATAATCTCTAAACTGCTTTTGAATGAATTCTTTCCCTAGCTTTAGTGGAAAACAATATGCCATATATAACTTCTCAATGTGCCAGAATTCTGAACATGAGAATTCTATGTTGGAAGGGTCCTTAGATGTTACTTGGATGCACAAATTAATTCTTTTTTTAAAAAGATTTATTATTTATTTTAGAAAGAGAGAGTTGTGGGGAGACAGAGGGACAGAGAGTCTGAAGCAGACTCTGCATTGAGCCTGGAGCCCAATGCAGGGCTTGCTCTCACAACCCTGAGATCATGGCCTGAGCTGAGTTGGATGCTTAACCAACTGAGCCACCCAGGTGCCCCAAACACATCTTAATTCTTTCTATAACAGAGGCACTCACCTAATTATAAACCACTTATAAGTACCCTATACCTCCAAAGACACAGTCCTCATGGGTAAGCTATTCTTGGTGTTGTGATGTGTCCTTCTTGCCCTTACTGTTATAGGTATAAATGTATATGACACAAGATCGCTTTCTTTCATAAAAAATAATAATTTAAATGAGGATTAAGTTTCTAGGTTAATCTACATATTTTACTCTAATAGACTGCAATATATTTATACGGGTTTTTGTTGGAGTTAGGTATTAGTATCTGTAAACCAACGTATGAACCCAATCACAATTTATAAAATTACCTCTCTGAAACAAAGTCCATCAAATTCCAAAAACTAACATGCAAATAAGTGACCTTCATTTGAAGGACAAGTACACACATTTCTATTGGATATTTACCTAGGAGTGAAATATCTGAGTCACAGGGTAGGCTGTGTTCCAATGCGGTAGAAAATGCCAGCTTTCTAATGCTTTGCAAGGCTTCATACTCTTAGTGCTTACACTGCTACACATCCTAGTAACACTCTTTAGTCTCGTCATTCTTTTTCACTTTAACCAGTCTTGTGGGTGTGTAATATATCATTAGGGTTTTAATTTGTTTTCCTAAAACTGAGACCTTTCCATAAGTTTGAGTCATTCCTACATCATCTGTGAAGTTTTTGTTCAATATTTTTTTGCCTGTTTTTAGTCTAAATTGTCTACTTCTTACTGCTGCATAAAAGTTCTTTATATATTCTTGATACAAGTCTTTTGTTGCTTATATGCATTGCAAGTGTATCATTCCAGTCTGTACTTACTCTCAGTTTCTTTAGATGAAGGGAAGTATTCTAATTCACCAATCTTTTTCTTCATTGTCCATGACTTCTGTGTCATGTTTTAAGAAATGTTGCCTACTGCACAGACATAAAGGCATTTTCTTATATTAGTCTTTCAAAACTTTGTTTCACCATTGACTTTTAGACTACATTCACTCAAGAATTGATTTTTGTGTGTAGTGTGAGGTGAAAATCAAGTTCATTTTTGTACATATGGCTATTGAATTGATCCAGTACCATTTTATAAAACTGTCCATTTCTGATTGCTCTGCAGTACCAGAACAGTGACAGTTCTCTGCAATGTCATAAAGTTCAAGTGTACATCTATGCATGGATCCATTGTTGAATATATCCCATCCTTCCTCAGCTGGGGTTCCCTAAGGGAAATTAGCCCCATGGAAGACTGAGTAACTATATTTTAATTTTCTCATAGACAGTATATAGTTGGTATTGTTTTAGATTGATAGGAGGTTAGTTAATTCACTACAGATAAAGGATGCCTTAGGCCATTAGGGTTTAAATTTTCTGGGTGAGAAGATCGGCTCCATTCCATTCCATTGATCCATTTGTTTATTCTGTGCTAAAACCACAGAATATTATAATTATTGTAGCTTTATAATTTTTCACATCCTAGAGAATAAGTCTCCAATTTTGGTCTTCTTAAAGATCATCTTAGCCATTCTTGGTACTTTTGCATTTCTTTATACATTTTAGAATAAGCTCTTCAAGTGTCACTATAAACAATACTGGCTGAGATTCTGAATAGGACTATATGAATCAGTTTGAAGAGTATTGACATGTTCCCAATACTGAGTTTTTAATTCAGTTAAACTGGTATATCCTTCCAATTATTTAGGTTTTAAAAACTATTAATAATGGTTTATTTTGGGGGTGAATGGGTTGGTTAAGTAACTGCCTTCGGCTCCGGTCATGATCCTGGATCCCATGGATGGAGTCCCACACTGGGGGTCGGGGGGGGGGGGTCCCTGCTCAGCAGGGAGTCTGCTTCTCCCTCTCACCTCTCCCCTTTCATGCTCTCTTTCTCTCTCTCAAATAAATAAACTAAAAAAAAAAAAAAATTACAATAATGGTTTATTTTTTGCTTTCTCTCAGTGTTGAGGTTTTATACCTCTTTCATTAGGTATTTATTTTTTATGCTCTTGTACAAATTATTTTTTAAAATTTTGTTCTCTAATTGTTAATCTACAGAAATACAATTAATGAGGAAATACAAATATTGACTTCACATCCAACAACACTGCTGAACTTATAATTTATACATAGATTCTTTTGGATTTTCTACATACACAGTCATATCATCTAGGAATAATTAAAGTTTTATTTCTTTACTGCCAATCCTAACACCTTTTGTTTACTTTTCTTGCATTATTGCACTGGCTAGTATGTCCATACAAAGATTAGTTGAAGGTACTATAGCAAGCATCCCTGTCTTCTTATAAAGTGTTTAACATTTGCCATTAAGTATGATGTTACTGTAAACTCCATTTTATTCCTAATTTCCTAATCCTTTTTTAAATTTTTTTAAATTGATTTATATCAATTGGCTTTTTCCACTCATATAGTTTTTCTATTATATTCTGTTAATGGGATGAATTGCATGTATTGATTTTCTAGTTAAATCCACTTTAGATTCCCTAGGATAAGTTAAAATTTAGTCAGATGTAATAATATCTTTCTCACTTGCCACTGGATTTGATACTAATTTCTAATTACAATAGCTAAATTCAAGAGAAAAATTAGTCTATAATTTTTAATCCTATTCAGGTACTGACCTGATTAAAAATCAATTGGGAAGTGTTCCCTCTTTTCCCATTCGGCAAAACTATGTGAGACTGGTGTTATTATTTGAGTGTTTGGTAAAATTCACCAACCACCTAACCACATAGGTTTCTTTGTGAACAAGGTTAATTATAGATATAAAAGTCTAAAAGTTATAGAAACATTTTAGGTTTCTGTTACAACTTGTGCCAGTCAGTTTGGTAAAATGTTCTATTTATGAATTTATCTAAATTTCTATATTTGTACCAAATTGTTCACAATATCCTATAATCTAGCAAATATTTGTATGATCTATAGTGATATCCTATAATCCATTCTAAAAAAAAATTGGTTATTCATGCATTCTCTGTTATACTTTATCATTCTTGTCAGGGGTTGTCAATTTTCCTAGCCTTTTTAAGGCACAATTCTTGGCTTTGATTCTACTTTATGTTTACATTCTCATGTATTTGTTTCTGCTCTTATTGTTCTTCTATATTCTTTTTGTAATCATTCCAGATGGAAATTTGCTGTTCATTTTCTAATAATTCCAGAAGGAGCCTTCATTTCTAGTAGTCATTTCAGATTATAAATGACTCTTGAGTAACAGTTTTAGCTAAACCCCATAAGCTTTTTTTTTTTAATCCTATAACTTTTATTGTGGTAAAATACACAAAACAAAAATTTGCTATTTTTAACTATTTTAAGTATACAATTCAGTGGTGTTAATTACATTCACAATATTCTACAACCATCTATCACTCTTTCCAGAAATTTTCATCATTCTAAATAGAAATGCTGTACTCATTTAAGTAAATAACTCCCCATTCTTCCCTTTCCCTAACCCCTGGTAACGTCTAACTACTTTTTTGTCTCCATAAATTTACCTGTACTGGTATTTCACATAAGTGGAATTATACAGTATTTATCCTCTTATGTCTGGCTTACTTCCTTACCATATTGCTTTTATGGTTCAACCATATTATAGCAGGTATCAGAACTTCATTCCTTTTCAAAACTGAATGATATTATCTATATCAAAGTTTATCTATTCAGCTATTGATGGACATTTGGATTGTTCCCACCTTTTGGCTATTATGAATAATGAATAATGCTGCATTAAACACTAGTGTAAAAATATCTGATTAAGTCTGTTTTCGGTCCTTGTAGATACCCACCAAGGCCTGGAATTACTAAATCATATGGTAATTGTATATTTAACTTTTTGAGAATCGCTGAACTGTTTTCCACAGCGCTTGCACCATTTTACATTCCTACCAGCAATGTCCAAGGGTTCCAATTTGTTTCCATGTTCACTAACAATTTATTTTCCATTATTTTTATTATAGCTATCCTAGCAATTTCCCTAGTGACTAAGGATGTTGAGTGTTTTTCTCATATGCTTATTGTCCACTGTCTATCTTCTTTGAATAAATCTCTAAGTACTTCGCATATTTTTGAATTGCATTGTCTTTTGTTGTTAAATTGTAGGGATCCCTTACATATTCTGATACATATTATCAGAGATACAATATGCTTTTCTGGCCTGAGTTAGGAGTTATGTGAAATAGAGATAGGCATCTTGTGTCAGTCCTTCAGGGAGCTCCCAAGTAGGTTAAACATACATATACAACAATTTTCTAATAAGATCTGCTCTGCTCTTTCCAGAACCAGGGATAGATACAATATGAGCTACTACTGCCTTCTAGACTGCCTCAGAGCTGGGAGGGGATGGAGCAAGGACAAGTAAAACAAATAATACCACAAACTTTGCTACCATTTCTTTTTCTTGATTCAGCATTCACTAGGTTGCTATTAACCTTTGATTGTTTTAATTGTACTGGCATCAGCAAGGAACGGGTTATGTATTTAATAAGGGAAGACTATGTCTTATCTTCTCTTTGAGCTAGTTTTTGCTGAACTTAAATACAAATTATACATGAGATATTTCTTTCCTTTCATAAAACAATGTGTTAACAATGTGATAAATGTACAGTTGCCAATTATGTAATTATAAATTGTGTAATTATAATTATACAATTAATCATAATTTTAAATAATTGACTAAAATTGTTAATCACATATGTAATTATTAATTGATTCATGCTTTAATTAAAAAAAGGACTTCTTGGGCACCTGGGTGGCTCACTGGGTTAAGCCTCTGCCTTTGGCTCAGATCATGATTTCAGGGTCCTGGGATCGAGCCCTGTATCGGACTCTCTGCCGGGCAGGAAGCCTGCTTCCCCTTCTCTCTCTGCCTACTTGTGATCTCTGTCAAATAAATAATTTAAAAATCTTAAAAAAAAAAAAAAAAGACTTCTAAAAATAGAGAGTTAAAGCATTTCAAGTTAAAAAGCAGTGAGAAAGTGTCTTAAATATTTTCTTGGATTAAAAAAAAATCGTGTTAAAAAATCAAATAACAAAATAATCTTGTGACTTTCAAACTCAGTTATTTTCAAAAAAATTTCAATGACCTTTCAAAATTTACCCTGGGTTTTAATTCTTTCTTTTAATTTAAAGAGCTTAATCTTAATATAAATGACTTTTAATAACTTAGGATATATTTTGAGTACCACAGTAAACATTTCCTTGAATTTAGACCTGCCAATTAGCAGATGAAAACACTAATCAGAATAATGGTCCATTTCTGCATCAGTCAAAATTCTATCATGGCTTATGCACAAAGTGAAAAACTCTTAGAATTTTTGACACTGCTTAGAAACAGCATACTCTATTTGAAAAAGTACTCAACTGAATGACTTTTGCCTTAAGTTTGAAGAAAATTTTCACAAAATACAGAATTCTAGATGGGCCACTACTTTCCTTTGCCCTTTAAATCTACGGTCTTCTCATTTTCACTGCTGGCTTTCAAATTCAGTCATACTTCTGATTGCTGCTCCTTTGAAGGTAATCGTCTTTTGTGGGGCTGCTTTTGTGATTCTCATTATTGTTTCAAAAGTTTGAGTACGGTGAGTATAGGTATATTTTCGTCATTTTTTGTGTTTTAACCTGTGGCTTTATTTCCTTTATCATATTTGGAAATTCTTGGCCAGTGTCTTTTCAAATACTGCTTCTGCATCATCCTTTTATTTCTACTCCTACAACTAAAATTATACATCCGTTAGAACTTTCCATCATAGACCTTACCTCTTTTAAGTTTTCTTTTCTATCTTTCTACCCTTTTGTCTCTCTGTGCTTTATTCTATTTTCCACTAACATTATCTCTTCATCTGTATCTATCTAATAAAATCTAATTGAATTCTGTATTAGTGAAGTAAAACATACACTAAAGTGTATAAATTTTAAGCATAAAACTTGTAAAATGATGTTGGATACCTTGCAATATGCTTACTGACCTCTCAGCCATCCTTTTGGAATCAGCAGGACCTCCAGGGGAAGTGTAGCTACAAATGCCAAGCTTACCATTCTGGTTTCCTTCCTCTCTCAGATCTTACTTTTATACTTTCTCCAGATATTCTGTTCTCAGAGAAAGCATTTGCAACACCTTGTCTAAAAATTGCTAGAGGTAGAAAATTCCTCTATTTAATTTCTAGACCAGTGAATTAGACAAATACATGATGAAATAGTTATTTCATCTCCAGACAACATAAACCCATGAGGAACAGCTAACAATGATTAGAGACTTAATGTCCGAAAAGACACTTTGCAACTAGAATAATATGAAGACATAAGTGGCAATTTTAAACCTTTAAATATTAGTAATCCCTTAAAGAATGTGATCAAAGTTATAGACCCAGAAAAATACAATGGGTACATTTGTCAAACACATAAATATACTTTAGTGAAGCTCAAAATCCCTGAAGCTCACCCACAGGTCATATAATATCCTACAGAAGTCCAGCGCAGTTAAGATAATACGTAACAATTATCAAAGTAAATTTCTAATACGTTCAACTATATAACTATAGAATGAGCATTTATTTAGCCCTGAGTTTTAGTCAACAGTGTGGCATGCCTGCTTCTAAAAAGCAATTCCATTCTAAGCAATATTAAGAAATATATTCTAGAACAATGTGGTTAACAGTCCCACTACTAGAAAGCACTACCTTGCAACATTATACACAATTATGAGGGCAATATTTTAGAACAATAATTGTGTAAATTACATCTACAGAGAAAAACCAGGATGGTGAAGAAACTTGAAATCATATTATATATGGAACAAATGAAGGATATTTATCTTATAGAAGAAAACATTTGGGGGATTCATAAATATGAAAGGATATCCTAAATAAGAACTAAATGTGATTTTCATCAGAGAGCAGAACTGAAATAAATGCATGAAAGTTACAGGGAAATCAGTTTTGAAACAATATGGGAAAAAAGATTATTCAAAGTGAGGCCTGAATTAAAAAAGAAGTTTCTATCCCAATTACTAGAGGTATTGAGCCATAGCCAACCAGCCACTTTCCAGAAATACTGTAGAAAATTTATGTCTGAGTAGAAAATTAAATTATGTATCCCCCTAAGGTTTCACTTAAGAGTAAGATTCATGAGGGACGCCTGGGTGGCTCAGTTGGTTGGACGACTGCCTTCGGCTCAGGTCATGATCCTGGAGTCCCGGGATCGAGTCCCACATCGGGCTCCCGGCTCTGCGGGAGTCTGCTTTTCTCTCTGACCTTCTCCTTGCTCGTGCTCTCTCTCACTGTCTGTCAAATAAATAAATAAAATCTTAAAAAAAAAAAAAAAAAAAGAGTAAGATTCATGTATCATTTTTTAAAAAGATTCTATTTATTTGAAAGAAAGAGAGAGCATGAGCAGAGGCAAGTAGACTCCCTGTTGAGCTGGGAGTCCGATGTGGAGCTGTATCCCAGGACCCCGAGATCATAACCTGAGCCGAAGTCAGATGCTTAGATGACTGAGCCATTCAGGTGCCCCTCATGAGTCTATTTTTTAGGTCATTGTAAAAAAAAGAAACAATTGCTATTTATTTCCACCTTAAATACTTCACTTCTTTGAATACGACTTCTTTTCCCAAATGAATATACATAGCATTTAAAACAATAAGTATTTCCAGACAAAATATTAACAAAGTGCAATGACATAAAGAAAAAAATTTTTTTCATTAGATAAAAGTTTAAAGGCAAAGACAAAATAAATGAAATTTATAAAAACCAAGATACCTGTTTTCTCTTACTTGTTGCCTCATCTTTTCATCCTTTAGACTTTGATGTTTTAGTTTCGCCAATTCCATAGCCAATTTTTCTTCTTGTTCAAGCTGGAGTTTCTTCAATCTTTTGTTTTCTTCTGCCTGAATTTTTTTTTTTAAAGTAACTTCAGTTATTTGTCCACCAGAATCAGATGTTTTTCATCAAAGCTTCAGAGCAACAAACATTTGTGTTTTATTTTAAAATACAAAACACTATTTCAGTAAGTGCTTTTCCAAACATTTTACCCTGGAAAATTTTGATCAATAGTAAGAAGAATATTAAAATATACGCTCAGCTAGCCATCACTCACTTTCAATAACTATCATAATTTTCCAATCTTCTTTCTCTACTCTTCCACTCCAATTTCATTTTTTCCTTTGTTCTTTTCTGCTAGACTTTTAAAACATAGGCTAGATATGTCATTACCATGTAAACAATTCAGTGTTGATTTCTATCTGAAAAGAAGTTAATTTTATGTAACCAACCATGCCTTTACCATGCCCAAACAGTAATTCCTTAGTAAGGTCTAATGCCTTGTCCATTTTCAAGTTCTCCCAATTGTCTCAAAGATACTTTTTGTTTGCTTTTTCAAATAAAAATCCAAACAAGTGCCACATATTGCATCTAGCTATTATTTCTCTTATGTCTCTTTCATTCCGTAACCGTCGTTCCATATACATACTTCTTTCCTCAAACCATTGATTTGTTGTTGAAATTAGTATATGTAGCCCATAGAATGTCCCAAAACATCCTAACTTTGACTGTTTCCCCAGGATACCATTCAACTTGCTTCTCTTTTGTATCTCCTGTAAAATGGTAGAAAGATCTAGAGGCTTAACTAAATTCTGTATTTAGAAAGAATAAACACATGAGAAGATGATCAACATCATTAGCCATCCGGAAATGTGAATTAAAATGATAGATCACCACAAACCTATTAGAATGGCTAAAATAAAAAATAGTGGCAAGGCGAATGTTGGTGAGAAACTGCATTTCTCACCTATTCCTGGGTGGGAATGTAAATTGGTAGTCCCACTCTGGAAAACAGTTCAGTAGTCTGTTATCAAGCTAACGTGCAATTACCATATGACTGGATAACTGCACTCAAGCATTTAGCCCAGAGAAATGAAAACTTATGTTTATTTAAGATCCTGTACCCAATGTCTACAGCAGATTCATTCAAAACAGCCAATACTGGAAAAAGACATACCTCAACACGTGACTAGGCAGATAACCTGTGGTACCTCCATACCACGGAGAGCACTCAGCAACAACAGGGAATCAAGTATTGACACTAGCAATAACCTGGATGAATTCCTAGGAATTAAGCTGAGTGAAAACAATCCAATCCCAAAAGGTTATAGATTGTCTGATCCCATTTATATAATGTTCTTGGAACATGTTCTTTATTTTAAAATTGAGCTTTAATTCCCATAGCATAAATTCACCTTTCACAATTCATAACTCAGTGGTTTTTTAGTATATTCACAGTGTTGCGCAACAATCATCACTATCTAGTTTCAGGACTGTTTAGAACAGACTATTTTTTGGAGCAGTTTTGGGTTCACAGCAAAACTCAGCAGAATTAACAGAGTCCCCATATACTTGCTGCACACATACACACACACAGCCCCGCCTCACTATCATCAATACCCCCCACCAAGTGGTACATTTGTTATGATCAACTAACCTACATCGACACAATCACCCAAAGTACATGGTTTACAGTAGGTTTAACTTGGCAGTATATTCCGTGGGTATGAGAAACATTTAAGGACACATATCTACCATTAGAGTTCTCATACACAGTAGTTTCACTGCCCTAAAAAATCCTCTGCCCTGCCTATTCATCCTTCCCTCCCCGAAATCCCTGACATCCTCTTATCTCTTTACAATCCCTACAATTTCGCCTTTTCCAGGTTGGTATACAGTCGGAGTCATGCAGTCTGAAGGCTTTTCAGGTTGGCTTCACTTAGTAATACACACATAAGGTTTCTCCATGTCTTTTTCATGGCTTGATGGTGCATTTCTTTTAGCACAGAATAATATTCGATAGTCCGGATTATTGATCCATTCGTATACTAAAGGACATCTTAGTAGCTTACAAGTTTGGACAATTATGAATAAAGCTGCTATGAACATCTATGTGCGGGATTTTGCATGTGTGTGTATAAGTTTTTAACATTACAGCATGGTTTCCTCACCCCCCAGAAAAACTCCATATCTGTTAGCCGTCACTCACCAGTCCACCTACCTCCTAGCCTCTGGCAACCACTAATCTACTTTCTGTCTCTATGGATTTGCTATTCTAGACATTTCATTTAAATGAAATCATACAATCTTTGACGTGTGGCTTCTTTCACTTAGTGTAACTTTTTCAAGTTTCAACCATGTTGCAGCATGTATCGGAACTTCATTCCCTTTTGTGTCGGTATGATACTCACTATATGGATAGAACAAATGTGGTCTGTCCAGGAATCAGCTGATGGGCACTTGCGTCATGGTCAACAGCCAACTTCCAGCTATTGTGAATAGTATTGCTTTGAATATTCATGTACAAGCTCTTGTGTGAACATGTTTTCAGTAGTCTTGGCCGTATGTTTAGGAGCAGATCACTGGGTCACATAGCAATTACATTTAACTTTTTGAGGAACTGCCCGACAGCTTTCCACAACCACCACAGCATCTTCCACTTCCAACAGCAATGTACAAGGCTTCCAGATTCTCTACCTCTTCGTCAACATTTAATGTCCTTTTTAAATTTTTATTTATTTGACAGAGAGCGATCACAAGTAGGCAGAGCGGCAGGCAGAGAGAGAGGGAAGCAGGCTCCCCGCAGAGCAGAGAGCCCGATGCGGGGCTCGATCCCAGGACCCTGAGATCATGACCTGAGCCGAAGGCAGAGGCTTTAACCCACTGAGCCACCCAGGCACCCCTCCTTTTTAAATTTTTAAAAAAATATATAGCATGGGGCGCCTGGGTGGCTCAGTGGATTAAACCTCTGCCTTCGGCTCAGGTCATGATCCCAGGGTCCTGGGATCGAGCCCCGCATCGGGCTCTCTGCTCAGGAGGGCACCTGCTTTCCCCCTCTCTCTGCCTGCCACTCTGCCTACTTGTGATCTCTATCAAATAAATAAATAAAATCTTTTTTAAAAATCTTAAAAAAAATAAAATTGAGAGCGCCAGCGCACGTGCGCGCAATCTTCATGGTTATGAAGGGGCACCTAACTGATTTTGATTTGCATCTTCCTAATGACTAATGATGTTGGCATCTTTTTTTGTGCTTATGGTCCATTTGTATGTCTTCTTTGGAGAAATGGCTATTGAAATAATTTACCCATTAAGGGATTTTTTTGGTCTCTTATTGTTGAGTCGTACAGATAACATTCTTGAAATGACAATATTAATGGTTGCTGGAGTCGGGGATGAGGTAGGTCTATCCAAGAAAGAGATGATGATGTTTATGAAAGGACAAAATGAGGGATCCTTGTCATGGAACTCCCCCGGACCTTGATTGTGGTGTTGGATATACAAACATCACATGTGATACACTGTACAGAACTAAACACACACACACACGAGCACAACTAAAAGGGAAATCTGAACAAAGCGGGAGGACTGTGTCATTGCTGATGTCTTGCTTCTGATATTAAACTATAGCTCTGCAAAGTGTGCCGTTAGGAAAATTAGGTACGGGGTATACTGGGACTCTCTGTATTATTACTGACAACTGCAAATGACTCCATAATTATCTAAATAATAATTTCAATTAACAAAAAGCAACTGCAAGTACGGGTGATAACACAAAGCAGCTGGAATTCTCATACATTACTTGAGGAAATGCAAAATAAAGCAACACCTTTGCAAAATGGTTTGGCAGTTTCTCACCAAATGAAGCAAACACCTACCATATGACCCAACCATCCTATTCCCAGATATCTGTCCAAGAGAAATAAAAATTTGCATTCATATTAAAGTTTGTAATAAAAACTCATAGCAACTTTAGTCGCAGTTGCCATAAATTGGAAACAACATGGATTTTTTTCAACACGCAGATGGATAAACAACTGGTACATCAGTATATTAGAATATGACCATACCACTCAGCACTAAAAAGAGTAATTCATGCAACAACATGGAATCTTACATTTGGTTTGCTAAGTGAAAGAAGTGAGACCCAAAAGGTGACATATTGCATAATCCAATAATATGACACTATGGAAAAGATGAACCTACTGGGACAAAAAAGAAATCAGTGGTTTCCAGGGACTGGGGAAAGGGGTAAGTGAGTGGCTAACTACAAAGGAGCAGCATGCAGGGACTTTTGAGGTGACAGAATTGTTTGCATGACACTGTGATGGTAGAAACTGAAATCTATTCATTTGTCAAAATCCACAGTATATATCAAAGAGAAAAAGAAATCAACCATTACATTCATACCATGCACTACTACTCAGTAATAAAAAAGAATTAACTATTGATAAATAGTCATCCAACAACTTGGATGACTCTCCAAAGCATTATGCTGAGTGGAAGAAACCTTCTCTAAAGGTCACAGACATAATTCCACACATGTATGGATTCACACATGATTACATTTATATAACAGCCTTGAAAGAACAAAATTATACAGATGGAAAACAAATCAGACATAGTGGGGGCTCAAGGAAGTATATGGCTACAGTGGGGCAGCATGAAATGAGGTCTTGGTGGTGATGGAATGGTTCTGTATCTTGAATGACATGGCAGTCAAACAAATCTACACATGTGCTAAAATAACAGAGGTATACACGCATATTGTACAACTGTCATTTTCTAAGGTTTGATATTGTACTACAGTTATGCAAGATGTAGCCACTGGGGGAAGCTTCTGTGTAAGGGCACAGTGGACCTCTCATACTGTTGTTGCAATTTTCCAAGAATTTGTAATTATTTCAACACAAAAAAATTTAAAGAAATCAACTAGATGTGGGGGGAGTAAGAGAACACAGACTATGTCAAAATAATTGTATTAAAAATCAGAGGGTCCAAGATGGCAGCAAAGGAAGATCCTGAACTCATCTCTCATGGATGCACAAAATCTACAGCTACATATGGATCA